CCCCACCCCCTCTTTACCAATGTTAAAATCTGGTCACCTTAGAAAAGAAAGAAACTTGCCTTTAAGAATGTACAGGAGCATTAAAGGCAGTGCTATCTAAAACTGTAAAATCTATCCTATTTTATAAATTAAATTCCATACTGAGAATCACATCTATTTATTTTAGGATACAGTGTTGAGATATAATAGAGGAAGAGAGGCTAACAAAATATTACAGAGCCTGAAGCCTAAAGAATGGTTGTGTCTTTCTTTCTTTCTTTCATTGCATTCCTAATAATATGCTTGAAAACAAAACAGTCATTTCTTTTCATCCTGCAGAAACATAGTGAAAGGCAGACACTTTCACTAAAATCTTTGGCACTCAAAATGCCATTTTTATGCTCCCCTTAGAAGCATGAAGGGGATGAGGTTTACATTTTGCTAAAGGTAAGTCTTCCTTACAGGATTTCCTGCTTATATGTATTTTTTAATTTAGCAGGCAATGTTTACAAAGCATTTTTTTAAAATGCTTTTTAAAAACTTTTAGTAGATTTGCTTAATTTTTGTATATCTGCCTGTATTGGGTCACAGTGGCTGATCTAAAGCATTCTCAAAGAATTGCTGTAGTATTTTTTTGTCTCTCTTTGATCAGTTTACTAATATGTTCATCTGCTGATAAATTATTTGCAGGAATTACATAATTTATGGCACTGTCATATGGACAGCTAGATATTTACATGATAAAATTGGAAATGGCAAGACCAGAAACTGGATTTTAGTAGCCAAAAAGAATATAACTACAGAGATAATCTCCCGATTAAATAAAACAAAGGGCTGTCTAAATTTTCTTCTCTGTATTTTAAGTGCTCCCTCTTCTTCTCTATTAATCCTATTTTCCCCTCTATGAATCCTTTAAAGAGTCCAAAAGATGCCATTCATGTAATTTATTCAGTAATTTATTATCCCCAAAGAGTTGCTCCGGTTCTTTCATGTATCACTCCTTAATTTGAAGCAGCAGTGAGATTAGTGTCCTTGCATTCTGCAAGATTCTATTTAACACAGATACCAATAGAGTAAAATGTTAATTAAATGAGCCTCTTTAAGTAAAGAAAAGGAACATCCATTATCTGAAAACACTTAATTATGTTAGATACAGCACAGTCAGCTATACTTTGGGGAACATCATGCACTGGGAAACAAAAGATGGGCTTGTGTGATTCTTAAAGAGGAGAGGTCTTGAACTGAAACTAATTATAACAATCCCTAAAGTATATTCCCTATAACACAAGCATTTCCGTATCACATTGATGGCATTATAAATTTAAATTTGTTATTAGCCCATCAGTTCCTTATAATACAAAATATTCTTAACACAATATTTATATTTTAAAATAGTGGATGTATAAACAAAAATATATAAATTAGAATAATGCACATTTTAATTTATAATTATAGCATATGTAAAATATAGAAGGACTATTATGTATCAAATCATGTATCTTCTTTTGTTTTGAGAGTTTATATTTTACTATGTTATAAATTATTATGTCTGTGTTGTATCCCTATTACTAGCTTGGTCTTGTATATTTTGTTTGAATAAATCAGGCATTTTAATGGGGAGGCTTGTAAATAATAGACTGAAAGAAACTCTGTTGAAGGTGAAAGTAGAGCTTGCAAAAGACAGACTGCTATTCAAAACTTTTTTAAAAAAACAAAGATTATGTCAACAATGTCAACACACAATAACAACCCAATGCAAACTAGTGGAGAAGAAATTGAAGAAATAACAGATGTTTTCTTCTTAGGATTAAAAATTCACTAGGATGATAGTGTGATCATGAAATAAAATGATACCTGCTATTTGGGAGAAGGAATGTTAGAAATCTAGACAAAAAATGAAAGTGAGACATTACGGACAATAAAGGAATGTTTTGTGAAGGCCAGGGTTTTTTCAGTTGCAATTACAGACCAATCTCCTTTTGCTGTGTCACCTGTAAAGTCATGGAATCCATCATTAACTAATCCATCACTCTCCACTTAGAGACAAACAACCTACTCTCTAAAAAGCAATTTGGTTTCAGGAAAAATTTGTCCTGTAATCTGCAACTCAAACACTGCAAAAAGATTTGGACCTCTCAACTCGACCAGAGTAAAGCAATAGATGCAATCTATATAGACTTCTGCAAAGTCTTTGATTCAGTGGTACATGACAAACTGTTAAAACTAAATTCTTACGGCATTTCTGTATCTTTGCAGAAGTGGATAGCTGCATTCCTATCAAACAGGCAACAAGTAGTCAAAATTGCAAATGCTATATCAAACCCTGCAGCAGTTAACAGTGGTATTCCCCAAGGTAGTGTTCTAGGACCAACAGTCTTTCTGTTTTACATACATGGCCTTTGTGATCATATTATAAGCAGCTGTGTCCTCTTTGCCGATGATGTAAAACTATTTAATACCACAGACAATTCTACTACCCTATAAAATGACCTAGATTATGTATTGGAATGGTCAAACAATTGGCAACTCCAAATCTTGGCTAACAAATGCTCAGTACTACACATTGGCAATAAAAATTAAAACATCAAATACAAGTGTACTTTTACTAATTATAAATGAACAGTTGCAAAGCTAAGCTGAGTCTGGTTAATTAGGCGCGAAAGCTAATAATATAATGTATAATTCANACACACACAGACACACACACACACCTACTTTTCTGCACCCAACTTTTTGTGGTCTATTTTCTTTCCAGCTAAAGTTATTATTTAATTTTCTCCCCAAACCTGCAAAAACAATAATGGTCTTCCATCTTTCCCTCTTATATTTCAAATACACTTCTTTCCTATATACGGCCTCAGCATCATTTCCTTTGCAGTTTCTGCAAACAAAAGAGAGATGCCAAGAAAGAAGATATTTGAACAGAGAGACAAGCTGTGCAGCAGCAGAATGGATAATTGTGCTGTATACTTTGGCAGGGAGGAAGGCATCACAATGAAAAAAACAACAACCCGCTAGCCCGGATAGTTTTCCTTCAAATGAACAAGTGCCAATTTTATTAAACTAATAAAATATATATGAAGCTTATAAATTAAAATATGAAATTCACTTAATAATTATGTATTAGTTGAATATAAAACATGATAAAGTATTTAAAACAAAAACTCATAGATCATTGCATCTCTTGCCATTCTCACATTCCCCTGACTGCCTTCACAATACTGGGTTCTGAAACAACAACCTTACCTGGAGGAATGTAAGAGCTGCTCTCTGAAGCAAGCATTCAGCATAACAAATTTCTGCATGGATTTCTTCTAGAAAAATTGAAGAAAGAAGAAGAAATGTTTCAAAGTTTCTCGATATAATGTGATTATTATCAATGTTGTAAAAAAAAGTTTTTTTCCAAGCAAGAAACTGAAGGATCACCTATTGCCACTTAAAATGCTAAAAGGCCATCTTCAGAATCAAGCAAGTGATAAGAAGATAAAATTGTTGCCACATCCTTGGATAAGTTGGCCTGAGGACTGCCTAGTAACAGCTCTTCTTTCTTTTTTATTACTTGATTACATTTTTTGCATTATTTTCTATTTCTATAAGTCTCACAAAGAGACATAGCTGAAAATCAAGATATGCCGAGAACAAGATGTTGTTCATGATCTGTGGCATTTGATGCTGATGTTCACCAGAATACAAGAGATGGAGGAAAACAAGGAGTATGGATTGGTGGTACAATAGTAGAATTAACCAATCTATCAATGGTCTGAAATTAGTCATTTAAGTTAGATCCTTCCCTAGGCCATCACCTTATTACTGTACTATAGCTATTTTGGTTGACTGGGAGGTTCCTGCTTAATTTTTATGATATATTTGCTTTCAATGGCCTTCAGTTTCTCTATTTTTGTGCCTTGTAGGTCTCATATACTTCAGAACTGCCTTACACAGCTAATCCATTTTTGTGCAAGCAAAACCTACTATATTTCACCAAGACAACATATTTTAGCCCCTCTTGAGGAAAGACCCTGAAATCTTACATGCAAAGCAAAGTGGTGATAATGTGCAATATCCTATGACACATTGTTGGTGACAGAAATCCCAGCAGTCCCAGTTGCCATCATAACCCCAGTACTGTGTGGGTCGTTAAGGGAGAACCTCATAACAAGCAGACTAGTGAATAAGGGTTGGTGGTAAGAGCTATGGGTGGGGTGGGTGCATGCTGCAGACAGGCACTCTGGAGAGCAGGCAGCTGCTGCGGGCAGGTGAATGATCAGTAGCCACAAGAATTGGATGTTGATACATACAGCTTAAGAATTGCTCAATCTTTTTTCCCTGTATCTAAATGTTTCTTCTTAGAGATGCCTCTTATATCCAGTCTTAACAGAATGAAGGCAAATATATGTGTCCCGGGATAATGTTGCAGTATCCAGAGGTTTAGTCTTCTGAGCATTCAGAGTCATGCTGGAGCCCACCAGATTGCAAGAACACAAGTGAGCAGTCAGACCCAAACTCATTGGTAGCTTGTTTATGCAATGAACAAGGAAATACATTTAATTTCACAGTTGTTGACCAAGCAAATACAAAGGTAGCCAGGGAAATTATTGAAGCCTAGGTAATGGAGCCCTTTGTCAGTCAACAGGAGTGCTATTTTACCACCAGCTTATTAGGTATTTAGGAGCTGAGGACTTGGCAGCACAAGGAAACAATAGCCAATGACTTAATAACCAGCCATCAACACCCCAATCAACAAATAAAGAGCCACACACAACCAGGCATCACATAAATACTATGCATAGAAGAGGTCAAAGCATGTATTCAGTTAGAGAGAAGTTCCCTGAGGATGGGCTCCAGCACGAATCTGAAAGCACGGAAGATTAAACCTCTGGTCTCAGTGACCCACCCAGATTGGCTCCTGTAGTCTTAACAGAATAACAGAATAAGAGAGTTGGAAGGGACCTTGGAGGTCTTCTAGTCCAACCCTTTGCTCAGGCTGCAAACCTCATACCATTTCAGACAAATGGTTGTCCAAAGTCTTGTTAAAAGCCTCCAGTGCTGGAGTACCCACAACTCCAATACTGGAGGTTTTTAAGAAGAATAGACCTATGTAACTGTATTCTCTGACATCTAAATATATGTTGGGGCTTAATTGACTATAGTATTTTGTTTTCATCAAGGACCATGCCGATTATAATTTAAGCAAATTTTCCCCACAGCAAAGTCTTATCACCCACATATACAATCATAAGATATGGAGCTGTTTCCCAAACGTAGACATATAACGCAACATCTGAAGCTTATTCATCAGTTATATCAACAGAATACACATAGCCGGCGTACAAGCAAAACTGAGCCCAAAATTTAGCGACAAATGTGTTAAGTGAATCGCTGCAGTTGTTAAATTATTAACATGATTGTTAAGTGAATCTGGTTTCCCCATTGACTTTGCTCATCAGAAGGTCACAAAAGGGGATCACATGACCCTGGGACACTGCAATAGTCATAAATATGAGCCAGTTGCCAAGCATCCAAATTGGATTCATGTGACTGTGGGGATGCTTTAAAAGTCATAAGTATTAAAAATGGTCATAAGTCACTTTTTTCAATACCATTGTAACTTTGAACAGTCACTACATAAATTGTTATAAGTCGAGGACTGCTTGTAATATGACAGAGTTCTGTTTGTTTACCTTCAGGTAATTGTTCAAGATTCTGTTTGTACACTAAATTGTTGAAAGAGTCTGCTACAGAAGACTTTTTCCGAAACCTAAGGAAAAATTATACAGGCTGGAGATTTAAAGTATACTTACAATACTAGTTAAGCAAATTATTCAGAAATATAATTGACACACATAATATTGGATGCATGAATTTCTGACTTTTCTCAAGCCCCGCATGGCATTGGACCTGGGTACCTGAGAGACCGCCTCCTGCCAATTACCTCTCAAAGACCGA